CAATAACACTGTAAAATAGTAATCCTCTTATAATCAAAGTGAATATTATATTACTTATTGTCATTGATGATTAGCTGCTACCTTAAAGTGGTGGTTGGGCTTGCCTATTGAGCTATATTAGCTAGAACATATGTTCCTTTAGGTTCTACCATGCCAGACAGGTCGATTAGAGAACAGTAAGACTAAAAGCAGCAACTGAAGGTCTAAGGATAAAGTCGTACTGCTGAGTGTAGAGAGGTGTGACAGCAGTAAGGTGTTTCTCTTGCGCAACCGGCATCTAAAGCGATGCTGCCTTATCACAAGGAGAGGTGGGGTTAGAAAAGGTCGACTCTACAAATGTCACGCCTCACCTTATCTCACGGATTTACGTCTCTAGAGGTAAGGCTCTTTAAAGAACGGAGCTAACACGTCAGAAACGTCCCACAAAAAGGCCGTGCGCGACCAGCCTCAAGCTATTGTCCCTTGGGCTCTGCGGTTAGCTGCCAGGTCGTTAAAACCAACATTAATCCAACTTCCTTTTCATGTCCTTCAACGGTGTGGTCAGCCGGGAAGTAATATCAGTCCTCATACCCGTAGCAACATACGATACCAAGTTGGTCACATTCAAATCCTTCCTACACCTAATAACTCTCTTATCTCCACGACTAACCCTTCTTACGTCCCTTTATCACCTCGCACCTCTAGGGCAAACGATTCGAGTACACGAAACGTTATTCCTGGTCTCCTGAAACCACGCTCTAAACTACATGTAGAAACTTTTAAGGTCCGCACATTGTGCCAAATAGGACAACAGGCCTCCTTAGCTAGGACTTAAGAGTATCTCCCCATCGATGTGTGCTGCGTCTCCGAAACGCGCATACAAGATCTGAGTAGCGAAATTCATTTGACCCCACCTTATCAAAATAAAGAACCAAAAAGATTCACGCTTCGTATACCTGGAAGCCCTGATGCTGCTTCCCGTGGCCTTGCTGGCGTAGGTATAGCACTAAGTCCTAGGGCAGAACGAACTCTTGGATGGATACCAGCAGACGGTCGTTTGTGCGCTGTCCGACTAAACGGAACAGTAAGGACTCGGAAAGATAAGGGAGCTCGTCGTCTCTGCCTACTCTCCCACTGACTGTAGCTCAGATGATGTAAAAGATGAGTTTTACAGAAAGCTTTCTGACCTTCTCCGAAAAGTTAGGTGCTCTGATATAGTAATAGTGACTGGTAAACTAAGTGAAAGGGGAAGACTCCTGAGTGGATCTTATAGTGTCGTGGCCAAAAGAACAGATAATGGCGACCGTCTAGTGCATCCATGCTCAGGAAACCGCCTGTTTCTTGCAAATACTAAATTTAAGCACAAGGAAAAACATCTTTTGACATGGCGACCTCCGAATTAGTTCCAACGTTGGACCCAACTAGATCACACCGGTATCAGGAACCCAACTATCTCGGAAAAAGATGCACATATTATTCATTCTCAATCCAGGAGATTGAATCGATGGACAGAACACTTCATGGATCAGTTCAATTGGCCTTCAGCCACACTTCAGTTACCCACGATCCCCAGTCGAACTGAATGGCAAGTTAATGTAAGTCCACCAACTCTCTACGAAGTTGAAAAAGCTATAGGAAATCTGAAGCGAGGGAGGGCAGTAGATGCTGGCAGGTTTCCCCCTGAGATTTTTAAGGGTGGCGGTCCAGTACTATCAGAGAGACTGACTGAGTTTGAGTAAGAGCTTATGACGAACTGTCATCAGAATTGATTACCTGAATTGGTGTTCTTTAGGGCTGTCCTCTCTCTCCATTCTTGTTCAACTTCATCGTAGACTTGCTTTTACAAATAACACTTTCCTCATCCAAATTTAGAGGGGTTGAACTTCTTTCAGGAGGCTCAAATATTGACTAAGAATACGCCGATAACTATTTTCACTAAATATACATTGTCGCTAATGACAATCAACTTATATCTGAGTTGTTTTGTAATTTTAATTAGCGATTTCTCCCATCTTTGTTCAAAGTAGTTGAAAATTTCAAATTATGAGGCAACCTGAGACCTACATAAAAGAAATTCCGGAGTTATATGTAGACAAGGAAGATAATTGAGATGAAGGATTACTTTAAACAGTGTGATAACCTGTTACTTTTTGGATTTCGCTTGTTTGCTATGCCGATGTCACCATAACATCTGGTGTTACAGAACTTCCGAATATCTCACATGTCCTTCCTGCTAGAAATATGAAATCAATCTGAAGTGACTTCGTAGATGCATTCAATATCATTAATAAATATCCTGTGATACTTTTTGTTTCACACTATAATTCTATCAATAGTAATTGCATCCTAAAATTGACTATGTGTACCTCGTACAGAGTGTGCGATAACCTAAGCCTAAACAGATAAACAGTGAATAACCACTCCTGTCAAACGACCAAATCGAGAGCTCCCGTAATAACAAACGACACATTATTTTAATGATCAATCAAATCCTGCTCAACGACGTGAACACAAATGAAAAAATCTATAAGTTGTTAACGGTGTTAGGTAAAAATGAAAAACTGACCTTCATCGTTTCGATCGTGTCCACCAACCCGGTTAAAGATCTGAACATTTGTTTTTCGTTCTCTCAATTTCGTAAATAACACCCCCACCACGAGAAGGCAGTGGGTAGGACTTCCTTGGCAGAAGCTATATATTCGAGTGGCCATGTGAGCGTATTTCGAGAGGGAGGGCGGACTCTCCCCACTCTCGGCCGTAACCGACAGTAACATCACATGCAGAGGAACCTTTGTTAATCAAGTGAACTCATTTGTGGTTGTTATCTCAGAGAGTAATGTGTGGGCGAGAACGACAATGATTGGTTGTCTCGATGAGTCAGACATTAGATAGGATGACAGGTGTTATATGTGTATATATTTTCCCCTATCCTTATTATGTATGGACACTCATTGAGGGACTGTTCCTTTGTCGGAAGTTGGTATGAAATATATTGACGTTGTAGTCAGGCTAATCTCGTGTTCTTGATCTGAGTTGTGTTAAAGTCCTGTAGAATAGACACTGGGTGGGAATCTAGTGTAGATATTCGTCTAAGGTAAATTAACGTCCAGCATACGTGTAAAAAGTGAAAGGACTGTTATAACGAGAAACTCCTAAAGTTATAATCAGCATCCTATGTTTATAACAGAGAGCAATTTACAAGTAACATTCATTTCATAAAACCTTTTACCATTTTGTTGCTCAATATACCTTTTTATATTTTAACTGTAATTTGTTACCTTTTTCCCTACTCATACACATACGCTTGTGGATCGGACACACATTGAGAAAATCACCAAACTGCATCACGACGCAATCATTAACCTGGAATCCGGAAGAGAAGCGGAAAAGAGGAGGTCCATAGAACACATTACGCCGGGAAATAGAAGCAGATATGAAAAGGATGAATTTTAACTGGAAAGGACTTCCCAGGACAGGGTTGGATAGAGTATACTGGTGTGCCGCCTATGGTCCTCCACGAGGGGTAAAAGGCATAAGTAAGTAATACACATACACTTAGGTTTGTAGTGTTAATTCTTTTTAGTATATTATTGGTAACTTTGAGTATTAATATGTCTTGACTAATCTCTTTTGCTGGGATCTACCACAGACTAAATGATACATTGGTATATACATATATTTCCTATAAAATTCTAATGTTAATCAAACATCCTTTTATAAATACTATTTCAATAATGAATAACAATAAATCATTGTAATTTATACTGTTCTTACTATAAACATTATGGTTTCTTCATCATTACCTTGAAACAACGATTAGAGAGTTTTATTTATTTATTTATTTAAACACATAAATTTTGGTACAAAGAAGAATCAGATATACATCCGCCACACAAATCTCATTTGATTTGTGTGAGGGCTGTGATACTGCCTAGGTGCCCAAACTGAAGCAGGTGGTTTTCTTAGGGGGCCACACCCGGAGCCTTTGACCTAAAGGTCTAGTCCACAAGGCAGTGAAGCATCGTAAGAAGATGCAGTCCCATGGTAGCCGGTGACCAACAGTTGGTTCATACGCCATTCGTTCCTTCAGAATACTGGAGCCAGCCCATGTGCACCATTGGTTTGGAATCAGGGTTTTCCAACTCCCCTAGATGGATCCTCCACATCCATCAATCCGGTTAAAGCGCTGGACATTCGTTTTTCGTTCTCTTAATATCGTAAACAACACCCCTGTCACGAGAAGGCAGTGAGTAGGACTTCCCTGGCTGAGGTTATATACGCATGGCTATATGAGAGCATTTGGAAAGAGAGAGCGGACTCTCCACACTCTCGGCCATACCAGGTCATTTGAGGGCAACGATTAAATAGATTTTATGATGAATCAGAAGAGTAAATCAAAAGCTTCACACAGTTTTCGTTGTTGTTGTTTTATTTCTAAGACTAACCTTATAGACAAAATAATAATACTGTATGTTAAACATGCAAATTTTTTTATGTGTGGAATATTTTTCATAACACAATAACACAATAACAAAATTGGAGAAAAGAAGCATGCTGTATGTGTGTGTGTGTATAAAAGTAGAAAAAAATTAGTCAATATGAATGACTCAAGATAAACAGTAAACAAAAACACATGGAAACAAACAAACAAACAAAATAAAACCAACTTAACAGCAACGTACCTTGTAAAATGCATAAAGTACTATGTAGGAATATTATTCTAAATGCAAGTCTATATTGTTTAATTATAATCCAATTTTAATGTGAGGGGAAGCATAGAAAAAAAAATTTTTTTTGTTAAATATTAATTTTTTATGAAATAAAAATAAAATGAGGTTGGTGAGGAGTAAAATTAAAATAGTAAAACAATGAAATAATTATCCTTATCTATAGTTGTTAAGGAGTAAATAATATTGATTTTTTTTTCATGTGGGTGTGTGTATGTGTGTAAAAAAAGATCAGGATTCTCAAAGCATCAACAAAATCAATATAAATGCAGATAAGTTGAGCTCCAAAGAGTATTATCCATAGGAAATCAATTTCATCTGTGAATAAAAGTGTAAATAAACTGGATTATTAATGATAACAACCAGAACATTATCTTCACTTGGTGTTGTTTACTTGTATCTTCTCATTGTTATTTAGGACAGCAACTGGTCAGTCTCTTATTGGCATATATGCATTCTGTGAGGACTGCCTCGATATTGCCTGAAGTCACAAGCTTTATAAGCAATGATATGCTGACAAGAGACTGATCAATTGCAGTCCTAAATAATAATGGGAAGATACAAGAAAACAACACCAAGTGAATTTAAACTTCACCCCATGGCACAAGCAGGTGTCTATCAGGGCTCAGTAGCTAAATGGATAACGCGATGGCGTGTTGGGTTCGAGTCCCAGAGTGAACATCAACTCTGGGATGCACAGGTACATCCAGCTAACGAACCCCAAATAGGACGAAACGCACGTCCTGGATTCTACCACTAGCCACTATCCATCATTGCTTATAGAACAGTAGCTGTTTATTGAAATCACAAACCGATCTAAGCTAGACAATCATTAAAAAACCTGAAAGCATTGCGACTCTTCCGTAGTGCGCATCGATAATCCCATAGCCGGGAATCAGAATCAGGATTTTCAATCTTGCACGCGAACGTTTAACCTACAGAACACTGGTATAGTATGTACCTTTTTTGTTTGTGTGTGTAAATATTAACTGGATATTGTGGCTGAGCACACTAGATCACGTGATACACGATATCCGACTGACAATTGGGAGTCAGATGATACACTGGATAATAGTTTTATTAGCACAAATACAGGCAGCTCAAAACGTGAAACCCAGAGTAAAAATCTCGGGTGTTACAATATAGCCATTCATATGATAAAATATGGAGTTGGCTATCTGTATTTGTCTTGCAATTAGTCACAGCTTGTTTTCATCTGACATCTCAGTCACATACGAACATTACTTTTAACGATAATGTTAACATTCACGTTGAACATTCGTATTGTCACAACAAAAGAAACGCCTTAGTTTATCATTTTGAAAATAAACCTATTTCTTTAAAAGCTTACAATATATGATGAAATAACATAATGCCCAACCACTGCTTACCTTGAAGGTGACTCTGTCTGGTATAGGAGAAGGTTGGAAGAACGGTAGAAGTGGCCAAAATAAGAAATAACGTTATTCCATGAAAATCATTGACAATTAGATTGAGCCATGTTAACAGGTGTAGACTAAATGGTTGAGGTCTGTGTTATCATAATAACTAGTGGTTAGAGGACATTAGGTCACATGGCTTAGAATTATTCTCAGTGGTGCATGTCCACTCTTTGCTTATCCTCATAAACCTAATCCAACAAATGCCCTGGTACGACCGAGAGTCAGCTACACCTCTCCAAATGCTCTCACATGGGATTTGTGAGGCGCATATTTATCTGGTCCTTCCTTGTACCAATATTTATGTGTTTAAATAAATAAATAAATAATACAGCCACTGTCAGGGAAGTCAAACTCATTGTTTTCTCGCAACGGGTGTGTTTTTACGAAGCAAATGTCCGGTGCTTTAACCGGGTTGGTGGACACGGAAAGTCCACCTAGGGGAGTTGGAAAACCCTCATTCCGAACCAATAGTGCACATGGGATCCAGCATCCTGAGGGAAAAAATGGCGTATGGAACTATTGTCGGTCATCGGCTACCATAGGACTGCGTCTCCTCGCGAAGCTCCATCGGCTTGTGGATCAGACATTTAGGTCAAAGGCTCCGAGTGTGGCCCCCTAAGAAAACCACCTGTTTTGGTTTGGGCACCCGGGCAGTATCACAGCCCTCACACAAGTGAAATGAAATTTTTGTGGCGCATATATATCTGCTACCCGTTTGTATCAATATTTATGTGTTTAAATAAAATAAAAATTTAACACCTTTAAATTGAAGTTTCTCGCCTAAAATGATCGTAACACTGTTAACAACTGTCGATAATCGATCAGAGCAGTTGTTATATAGCTCGCCATAAGTAAGACAAACGCAATATGAGACTTGGAACATGTGAATATTAGTTCAAGTTGTCAAAACATAGAGAGTAGTAGAGGTAATGACAGCATTAATGGTGATAGGAAACACTAGCTATCAAAGATATAATTCGAGAAAAATACAAATCAGTGAAGTAAAACAAAATTGTGAGGAATATATAAAAATTTAGGATCTAAAGGAAGACAAATAGTAAATACACCTGAGCCACTGTGAACGATTTTGAGTCATGCTATTCAAAGACTCTAACCATTGGTTACGAAAGTCACGCGAACTTTAACGACGTAATCTGCACTTACTCACATGGCTCAGTTTAACGGTGAGTGTCTTTATGGACTGACGCTGTGTCTTGTATTTGGCCGCTCTCGGCTTTCTTCCAACCTGTTCTGACATTAGCCATCATCATAGTAGGTGGATAGGCATATGTAATAATGTTCAAACCATATCAGTCGATAGAGATTCATCCCTATCTCAGGTCTTCTCTATAAATCATAGATGTTCACCGGAGTCCATTAGGACGGTCATTTTACATAAAACAAAAAGAGTTTAGAATCGTTCAACTGTATCCCATTGTTCATGGGGAAAAAATTACAGTAGCATGACAAAATGAACGTGAATCTGAGTGACACAGGACCGAATCTACCAGGGAATATTAGTTCCTCCAAGATTAATGGTACATCTCACTGACAAGTAACAAATAGTATAAAACTTCCGACGATTCAGCATTTCTTATCGACTACTTCGAACTAACGAACATTTCAACTAGCGACCACAACCCAACCTAAATGATAGAATTAGACTAGTAGAACTAAGGAGACTAAACAAACATGACATTAGTTCAGTCAGTCAGCTACAACCAACCTGTCTGGCATGGTAGGACCTTGAGGAACGATTGTTCTAGCCAGTATAGCTCGATTGGTTCATCACAATAAGCAAGCCCGACCACCACCTCAAGGTAGCAGCAACGGCCGGGACATTAGTTACAACTCAGTAATCAGTTAGTTTGATACATTTACAGTATCATTTAAAAATTGACTCACTTCTATTATGGTATATACTTGGATTCCATCATTAATAATTTTGTCTTACTATTATGTACATGATTACTTTTTGAATAATTAATAAGAGTAAATGAAGAACTGATCAATTGATTAATGTGTTTTATACATTTGGATACTGTAGAAAGTTTTCTGGGTGATTCAAATGAATTCGGAGAAAAATTGGCCAATGATGAAGAATAACATGTTACAATGTCATTTGAAGAATAAGCTAATGGTGAATAGTTGAATTTTTTATGATGATGATGACGATGATGATGATGATAATATAACGTAGACGAAGGTGTTGTTGAGGCAGATAATGAAATATTTCTTGATGGATCACGATATTGATTACTATCCGTATTGTAATTATTTGTAATAACATTATTATATTGAGCGCCGTTATTCAACTTCAAATATGATAATAAACAATCATTAGAATTTTGATTGGACATTATTGTTTTGGGAAAATTCAGTATGAATTGACTATTGTCACTGGGGGAATCAGATAAAATCTTCGCATTAAAAAAACAGGATATAGAAAGAAAAAAACAATAATAACATTGTTCAACTATCCTATTAGAGACTGACCAGTTGCAGTCCTATAACATCAATGGGAAGATTCAAACAAACAATACTAAGTGAATTTAAACTTCACCTCCATCGCACAAGCAAGTGACTATCAGGACTCAGTGGCCAAGTAGATAACGCGATGGCGTTTGAAGCGCAAGGTACTGGGTTTGAGTCCCAGAGTGAACATCAACAATTCTGAGATGCAGGTACATCCAGCTGACGAGTCCCAAATAGAACGAAACGCGCATCCTGGATTCTACTGCTAGCCATTATCCATCTTTGCTTACGATCCTAACTATATCCTATCAAGATTAAAAAGGTACTCTTCTTGCTATCACTAACTTAGATAACATTTTTATTTATTGGAACACATAAACAGTGGTATTAGATTGCACCAAATACATATGCGCCACACAGTAACAATGAGGTTGTGAAGAGATAGAGAATGTAAAGTGAATATTACAAAAGAAGAGCAACAATGAACAGAAATTATTGTATCAGAGTGAAATAATAATAATAATAATAATAATAATAATAATAATAATGAGAGAAACGGTTCAGTTAGGAAAATACAACCAGAAAGGATTCTTTGAGTGAAAGAAGTTACTCTCACTTTAACGAAGAAAGTTACATCATGATCACCACTGATATCTATTCTTAGCCATGTCTGTAGACATCTTAAGAGGGCGAATCGAAACAAGAAGGTAGAATTGTCCTACAAGCACTAACTTCGTTCGCACTCATCCACATACATACGCACATACACACGAGTAAGACATTAAATGTAGATCGCAGTAATTAATTATCATTTGATTGATGAGTACGGAAATGTTAATTTAACGAGGACCTGATACCGAAGTCACTTAGTACTTATTTAATATATGGTGAGGATTAAACAGGTCAAAATATAAGCAAATAAAACGTAATCGGTTAAAAATGACGTACCTAGTCGATGATCGTCATCACATAGATAAAACTTCAGAGTTGAAAGTTATAAAAATCTCATCAAATTCATCTTAAGGTTCCTGAATACAACTCTTACATATAGCAGAGGTCATAGGAATACATATCAAAGTCCGTTTCCAATAACCCGGTTAAAGCGCCGGACATTCTATTTTCGTTCTCTCAATTTCGTAAACAACAGTAATGCCACGAGAAGGCAGATAGTAGGACTTCACTGACCGAGGTCATGTGAGAGCATTTCGAGAGCAAGAGCGGAATCTCCCTACTCTCGGCCGTACCATATACTGTTTCTTTTGAAAAGAAAAAACGAATATCATATTTTCAATGTAACACGTCCACACTGAAGATAAAGGTACTTTCGTCTGATTAGTCTTAAACAGGATCAAATGTGTTTCCTAGATTCTATGATTAGTCACAATTCACCTATTTTAAATGTCATCAGAATAAATTTCGGCATTAATTTTGTAAAATTCCTTAAAAACACAAAATACAATCAATAGAAAGCAAAAAAACCTACCATAGAATTCCTTTTATTCCCATCATTATTAAGATCTATTGATGATGTATTGGAAGAACAAGGAGAAATCGATAAACCATTTATTCTTACATTTTCTGTACTTGTTTCATGTAGGCTATCACAACTTTTACTTTTGTCAAATGCTTCTATCGATTGATAATTTGTCATAAGATTATGATTGATATTAAGCCCGTCATCATCATCACCATCATTATCATCATCGGTACTCGCTTCACGACTTGAACAAGTACTAATCGCATGAAAATTTCGATTGGAAATAATCCCATTATTAACACTATAACACATTAAATCATTGTTGAATCCATTATCATCATCATTTTCATGCTTTATAGTTAATTCAGGAAGAGAATAACAATGTTTTAATGAATTATCACAACGATCCGAATCCTTTGTTAATTTTGTTTTAATAGTATCATGATTATTATTCTTATTCAATACTTTCATATTCAATATATTCCCTTGTTGTTCTGTACTTGGATCAATTTCATCATCAACTTCAGTAACACTAGATAATTTATTTATTTGATTCAATATTCCTGGAATACTTCCACGGTAATGATGTAATTTTTGTTTCATTATAAAATAATGAGTAGGTAATTTCTTTTTATATTGTATCTGTATACATTTATCACAATGATCTATGGTAGTTGTAGAATTAGAGAACATTGTTGAACATTCATTAAGATTATGAATATTAAAATTATAATGATTATTATTATCTTCAATGAGGTCTAATTGACGTTTCTGTGAACAGATACGTATAAGGGCACAGATTAATATAGCAGGTACTGGTGCAAGAACTAGTTTGATTAGAAAAACAAACAAATGATAAGAAAAATATACTCTTGAATGAAATAAAGGATAAAAAAATGAAATGTAAATGAAAATTATCAGATGGGGGTTTTGTGGAGATTTTACTAATTTTATATAGTTGATATCATGAGGAGTCCCATAATAGGACGAAACGGTAGTCCAGTGCTTTCAGGTTTTCCATGATGGTCTAGCTTCAATTAACTCATGAATTCAACTATGAAAATGCATTTCAAATAGTTATACCATTCAACTAAACACAATTTTAGTTCCTATTTATTATCATAATAATTACAACAAGCTATCGTGATCGATTTTCAAAAGAATGTAACAATCAATAAGTTGTTTCTACCTGTGAGAATGTTTAATCTTATTTTTATTATCAGAAGGGGTTTTTTGGAGATTAAGTATTTTCATAGATGAAAGTGTGAGTCAATTAAAGCTAGACCATCATGGAAAACCTGGAAGCACTGGACGAGCGTTTTGTCCTACTATGAGACTCCTCAGCAGTGCGCACCTACGATCCCGCCTCGGGAGATTCGAACCCAGGACCTACCAGTCTCGCGCCAGAGCACTTAACCGATAGACCGCTGAGTCGGCATCCAACGGTGTTAATGTCTAGCTTCAACTGATCCATGAAGTTGAGCAACCATTTCATCAATTGTCTTCAGTGATTTGATATCTCACAACAGATGTAGTTTCCTAGACACAAGAACTAATTTTGATGGAGTTCCGTTCGCTGATCTGGATAGTTTAATTATGAAGATTATATTGTTTTACTGAACTGCACTATAGGCACAAACTTCTGATAGAAGTGAGGTATTCGAGTCTCTCCATATGCGACTAACATTTTATCTTATTGACTAGTTAATGTTGACCTGTAATCTGTAATTGTCTGCATTTCTTATTTTGATTGAACCTCTTACTAGCCCTACATTTGTCCATGATTTTCCTGAATAGTTGATAGATTGCATCGATTTCGATTTGTTTGTTGACTGTTAGTTGACCTGATTTCCAAGACTACTCCCTCTATTCAAAATTTCGACATTTATTTCAATCGAATTTGTGTCCACAATTGTGAACATGCATTGATATAAGGAAATATATGTCATGGAGTTTGATCACTAATTGATGTTCATGCAAGTGAAAATAAAAGGGAGATCTATTTTATCCGATGCAGTGTTTCTCACAATTGGAACCGTTTTTTTTGTAGATGATGTTTGGTTTTTCTTCTTTTTCTTTTCATTTCATCCTCAGGATTTCATAATGCAGACTGAAGTGGTTTTCCCGGTTTATGTGCTATCTCTGTGATGCATGGCACTCATATTGACAGATATAAGTAGTATGCAACACCAGTCTGAAGTAGAATGCCTGGCAGAAGATTGAGGATATCGAATTGAGGAAAACAATAGTTTAGACAGAGTTTAATGGTAATAACAACAGGAATGAAGGAACGATGAAGTTTGTAAGAGATAACTGATGAAAGATGCGCAAATGAAGTATTTAATGTATGGTTTTCATATTTTACTAAGATACTAATTTAACATTAAGCAGTGAGTCGGTCTTTCCCACCTAAGTGTACATTCATAACATAACTAATCCAAACGACTTCAGTAATCTCCTTTTGACTTCTGATATGTCTTCTACATATAGCAGGATGATCCATTTGTTGGTTTATGTATTTTATTTCATTTCTGCTGATGAGTTTGGTTGATATTTTCTGATTAAGATGAGTGAATATCCCTTACTTTAAAAGATAGTCATTAGATATTTTACCGCATTTTTCCACGCCATAAGTGTTCTGCAGTGTGTCCTCGTACTTTTAACCAAAGTTTGTATACAGTTGATTTTGTAAGTTGTTAGGATTGTTGCCGCCTAAATCACCTACCTAAGCTATAAATCTTCTCCACTATCTCAACAAAAAGCTGAATAGATTAAATTTTTAGCTAAAGTAATGAGTGAGTAGCCTAGTTTCAATATAGCTAGAACTGAAATAATGCCCAACGTAGTGATGAGACGTCTTGAGAGGTTCATTCTTTTATTTTGTTTAAATCAAGAAGGATTACAATAACAGAAGTTTCATACTTACCTATCCATGGTAATTTAGATATCCAATGATCATCTTTATCTGACGGGTCCATAAACATATGTGCAAAACATGGAAGAGAAACAGGAATTTATAAACATCAATTTTAAAGGAAGAAACAGTGGAAACTAAATAAACTTGAAACTCACAACAGATGAACAAGGATTTTGGTGCTATACTTTATGGACATGAAAAAAACCAGGTAAAATAGTCCCCTGGGGATATGTGCACGGAATTCATTCATCTATGTATATAAAGCACCGTTGCTTTATAGCTGATGTCAGTTGGTAATGAAAACCCTGCGAGAGGTCCTAAATGGAATAGTAAGAAGTGATTGGTCAGCGAAAGGAGACAGACTGATATTCAGCCTGTCAAACAATTAACGTATGAATTCTCTTCTATCATCGTTTGCTACTCTGGATTCACTGTGTATGAAGTACTAGTGTCTGTGTAGAATAAATCTATTATTTGACCTAATACTTTGTTCCATTAAATTCGGTCGCAGACCAATTATCTAATATAACGTGATTTCAGTCTGTCTATAGCGTATCGACCGAGTATTCAGTATAGTGGTAGTATAATCTCGTGTCAATGATGTATCAATGTATAGCAGTAGTATATTGTGGTAAACGGAAACATTTTTTATACCCTCCTAATTTGAACACATTTTCTTTTACTCTAAGTAATAGTTCACCTATAAAAGTTTATTAACGATATCAAAGTTTTTAATCGTTTGTAATTTTATATCTGAGATAACAACTCACTGAAGACAGTTTGTGAACGGTTGCTCAACTTCGTGGATCAGTTGAAGTTAGACATTAACACCGTTGGAAGTCGGCTCAATGGTCTATCGGTTAAGTACTCTGGCGTGAGACTGATAGGTTCTGGGTTCGAACCTCGCGAGGCGGGATCGTGGATGCGAACTGCCGAGAAGTCTCATAGTAGGATGAAACGGCCGTTCAGTGCTTCCAGGTTTTCCATGGTGTTCTGGCTTCAATTGACTCATTATTTCAACTATGAAAATTTTATATCTACTAGGAATTACTTCATCATAGCCTGACATTTTTCTGATTGGCTAAAATGTTGCTTAAGTTTGTCTATATACTTTCCTCTGTCAAAAAAAATAATTAGTACTAACATTGATTTCCCTATATGTGTGTAACCTAGTTTCATCACAATAAGAGAAAAAATATGAGGACATATAATTCAGTCTTTGTTACCGTAGTTAAAAAAAGATACCAAAGAACAGATAAATAGATGTGTCAGGTGAAAGTAAGCCGTGACTGGTCAACGAATGAAGACAGATGAGTAGTTGTCCCTTGAGTAATGCAATCACACTCCCAAGTTGTCAAAACCAATCCTAATTCAATCCCGTTTCCAGATACTTTCAGAAGAAGTACTTTATCATGGTGTAGGAGAACGATGGAATACCTGTAACGAGACCTAAAACCGCCTACTTTCTTCAAAAACAAACACCCTTTTATCACGTGTAACAATCAAAACACTGACCAAACTATGAATTAACCAAATAACCCATGAATATTAGATTATATGTTCGAACCTATTTAGTCAAGAGAGTTATACTGTACCACTGGTTATCAAAATTGCATTTATGACTTCATCTATAAGGTGAACATATATGTACGTAATGCTTCATTTATAACTCTACACTGGTAAAACAAAACAAAATGTTAACTTACATAATTTAGAAGATGTTTTCGGTGAATAATTTGATGGGATCATATTACAATTGGCTTCATCCTGTGATAAATTAACTTGATTCATAGGTACTCTCAAATCACAATCTGGAAGACTATCACATAACATTGTAGCTTGAACACAAATAGGATGTTTACTTGATAAGATATTATGTTGATTTGTCAATGGTGTTAATGATGAGGACGACATTGATGTAGACGATGATAATAGACTACTTGGGTTGTCCTGATGATGATGGTTACTTGTCGTAGTATTAAAAGTAGATAAAGATTGAAGACACCAAAATCCAGAGAAAAATTCACATAATGCTTTCTCTAAAATTTACAATTGAAATACATGATTGTGAGTGGTTGTAACTGCTATGATTTGGGATAAATAATCTAAATTTTAATTACAAGGAGCCTTCGTTTTCATATTTATTAAATGTTCCAGCACCAAATGAAAAACGTATTCTTTACATATCACTACTAACCATATTTGCCAATTTATGTGGAAATGTCAAAATGGGTACATTTGAAAAACAAAAAAAGCTAGGGGTTTATAGGCGCAACTGTGAATATTTCAAATAGTCTACATCTTAGAGAACAAAGCACCGTATTTAATTTGATTGTGTAGCAACTGCTGAACATGAGACATGAGGTGAATATTGTTACGCACTCTAGACTACTCGTATGGATTTCGTGTGTCACTGTTCCAACCGATAATTCGCTCTTCTCTTATTGGCGGTCTTATAACGTTCATAAATAACAACTGGCGACGGGGTAAAAAAAATGGCTCTAACTTCTGATCAATTACAGTTGCTTTTCCAGCGAAAAGAGCAGCGTTTTAGAAAGAGTCAGTTGGAACTGACAATCCTGTAATTCTAGTGAGAAGTAGTGACCACTGGAGTTCACGTCTGTTGTGAGATATCAACTCACTGAAGACAATTGGTGAACGGTTGCTCAAACTTCGTGGATTGATTGGAGTTAGACATGAACATCATCGGATGCCGGCTCAGTGGTTTATCGATTAAGTGCTCTGGCGCGATACTGGTAGGTCCTGGGTTCGAATCTCGCGAAGCGAGGTCGCGGATGTGCACTCTTGAGGAGTCCCAAAATAGAACGAAACGGCCGTCCAGTGCTTTTAGGTTTTGCTTGGTCGTCTAGCTTTAATCGACTCACGCTTTCAACTATGAAAAATATTTTGAACAATGATAAATTCCTATAAAAATACTTATTAGTTGAAGTTAAATATTGATACTGTTAGATAACGGCTCAGTGGTTTAGAGGTTAAGCATTCGCACGCGATACCGAGGGTGCTGGATTTGATCAACACAGAGGGATCGTGAATGTGCACTGCTGAGGAGTCCCATACCAGGAAGAAATGGCCGTTCAGTGCTTCCAAGTTTCCAATGGTGGTTTATCTCAAATCACTATGGGATTTGAATCGACAACTGCATCTCTGTGCTAATGTGGTACGTACGAAGTTCTACGTTGTGATTGACTGACTTATCTTAGATCGGTTAATGATTTCTACAATCCTTTACCGACAACCATTTATTGATTGGATTTGGTAAAAGTCATTTGGCATAGATATACTCGCATTCATACAAATGACTTTACACAGTGATATTTTAATGAAAGTTATTAGCCTACTTGAAACCACTACGCTGTGACAGATTTTATAACTTCTGTAGAGAAATACGTTTTTTACTAAATAGGAACTTTTCCTCATCAGGTGGGAGAAAGGTGAATTCAAAATTGCAAGGTGGTTATCACAGCTACCTTTGTTGACTTGTATCTATGATGAAATAAAATCAGTCTACCTGAGGGGTTTTGATATGATGTCTACTAAACATAACTAAAAATAAATAAAAAAGTTGATTAGACATATTTTAAAACCAAAAAAAGATCAAATAACATACGGCGTTCCATAGAGAAATTTCCTACAAATATCATATGCGAAGAGATACGCACAAGAAATTTAATGCCTGATCTGGAAAGAAAATGCTGATTATTGAAATTGTTTAAATGGGATGATGATGACGACAATGAAGAGTTACTAATACTCGTATTCAAAAAGATAACAGAAGAGGTAGAAGTAGTACTCAACAGTGATGTATTTGTTATTGCCGTAAAATCTGTAACTTCTGTTTCATTTCTCAGCTTCCAAGTAATGCGAATTCTTCGTAAATATCCAGATAAACTCCAATGATTAGACTGACCAATGTAAGAACTTGAGCAGTTGATCAGTAAGATTTCATCAGGCTATTTTTAAGGGACGGCATAGAAACAACATAATTAGTCTATATATTAAAGAGGTTAAATCTTTTGCTTGTTAATATTATTATCCTGTAGTGTGAATTATGGATAAACGATAGAAACTATAATATACGGCTGAAATTAATCAATAAGTAGGACGTAAATACAAATATTTCTGACTGCTAAGCAGATCATTGTAACGAATATCATCATTAAATGGTCATACCATAATTCTCAAGCAGTGAATATCCAAATACAACAGTTTGTGACAACCATATTTGGATGGAAAGGTATTCCCGTTAAGTTTCCAAAACGTTGAGATATATAAAAAGGTGCTTACTGTGTACACATAATAGTTCTAACCTGAACTAACCCTTTTGTGAAGCGGTGGCCTGGTAGTTAAGGTGTCGGTTTTTAGCTTTCAAGTCACAGGTTCGAACACCACTCCACTAACTTCAATTTCGGCAACCGAGTAGTATTATGGTACATGCTGCTTATACTGACAGATATAAGTAGTATGTAGCAGCAATCGGAAGTGGAAAGTCTGTCAAAAGAAGTTTAGACTGAGAAGAACAAGAAGGAAAACAGAAGGAAATTGGAGTAACAACAGAATTGGAAGAATCATAAAGTAAATAAAGGATAACTTTCAGTGTTTTAAAGTACCAATAATATATGATAATATACCTTGACGGGACTTTCAATCAGTGTTATCAACAAAACGACTGTTTATTAAAAGAATTCAAACATTAAATAACGGAACAATTAACTGGCAGAATACTGAGAAGATAAATGGTTATGTGATAACTTCACTGAAGTGGTTGGATGGATTATTTGATTACGGGATCTGAGTTCCAACTTTCAAGGAAAGTCTTCAAAATTTAGAAGCACAAATCAATTATCAACTGATATATATACAATCAAAATGATTGTTTAAGATACTGAACTATGAATAACCGATAGTGAATTAATCAACAGATTTTAAAAGCATAACTAATCTGTGGTGAAAATGATCACAAAATAGGTAATTAATTGAATTATCACATCATGAAAAATCTTCAGGATCTAAATGGATCTATGTACATGAAGAGTCTCATATAGGATGACTTCCTGGATATGGCTGCTAACCATAATTCATCTATTCCATAAAACTTGTGATATAATAGGTATATCGAGGTAATTTGCACAAAATGACGCATATATATCAACAAAGACTGGTCAAAATTTAGTTGTGAAAGTCAACAACGGGATAACTCAAACTCCTAGCTAATAAGGCTATTGAACGCGTCTATCTGTTAAAATTTCAATAGATTCAAACAACCGAATCAGTAGTCTGTCTTAATTAAACGTAATGGAAATAGACTCAGTCAGTCAGTCAGTCACAACGTAGAACTTCGTACGTACGTACATCAGTTCGAGTTGCCATACCACATTAGCACACAGATGCAGTTGTCGATTCAAATCCCATAGTGGAAGAATTAGTAAGAGTATAAGCAGTAATCGGAAAGATTAGAGTTTGAAGATGTTATTGAAGGAGTATAGTACAGTGAAATAAATTTGGAAAGAGAAAAAGATAAATACATGAGGAATTCAGAAGATTAGAATTTGGTAGAACACAAAGAGTGGATGCATCTTCGCCATTGCAAACGATTTTGAGCCATGTCATTCAAGGTCTCTAACCATCGGTTGCTATCATCTCGCGAATCCCAACCAGGTAGTCTACACTTTCCAACATGGCCCAGTCCACTTGTCAGTGACTTCATTGATTTGTGCCACGTTTTGGTCTGGCCACCCCTAGCTTTCTTCCAACCTACTCCTACACCATGAAACATTGCACGTCGGGGCAGTCGGTGGTCGGGCATACGTAACACATGTCCCAGCCATCTCAACTGATGATGTTTCACTACTTCATCAATCGATTTGCCATCCCTACCTAGTACTCGTTTCCTAACAACTGCATTACTTACCCGGTGGTCCCAGGATATACGAGCAATGCTTCGAAGACACCTATGATCGAACACTAGTAGCCTACGAATATCCTCTACTCTTACCGGCCATGTATCACTTCCATAAAGTAGGACGGAACGAACTGCTGCACAGTAAACCCGTCCTTTGGTTGCTAGACGGATATCTCGCCTACGCCACAAATGATGCAAGTTGGCAAAAGCTAGACGAGCCTTCTGTATCCGTGCTGAGATTTCGTCAAACACCAGACCACAAGGGCTGATGAGACTCCCAAGATAAGTGAAGTGGTCTACACGCTCAACTACTTCACTCCCTATCATTAGTTCAGGTGTCGCTGCAACCCAATCCTGAAGTAACATTTTGCATTTCGAGGGAGAGAATCGCATCCCGAACATGCCTGCATTGTTGCTTATGGTGGTCAGAAGACTCTGCATTTTGTCAGTGTCTTCACCGAGTAAAACTATGTCGTCGGCGTATTCTAAGTCAACAAGTGAGCCTCCCGGTAAGAGTTCAACTCCTGGAGGCTTAGCTGATGAAAGTGCTGTCTCTAAAAGTATGTCAATGACAAAGTTAAACAAGAATGGGGAGAGTGGACAGCCCTGACGAACTCCACTTGTGGTAATCAATTCTGATGACAGTTCGCCATAGGCTCTAACTCGACCAGTTGTGTTCGAGTAGAGAGCCTTTATGAGGTTAATGTACTTCTTTGGTACTCCTTTCAGTGACAAACATTGCCATAGAACCTCATGGAAATAGACTATTGTTTTTAAAACATCTCGATTTGTGAATGATATCTTTTCAAATTACAAACCCTGGTTATCACTGGTTGACGTAATCCAAACCACTAAAAATTGAATGAAAATTCATACACATTACACAAGTGAGTGATTAAATGAACTTAAAAGCTAAGTGGATAACGCATTGTCGTTTGAAGCGAAAAGTACTGGGTTCAAGTCCCATAGTGAATATTAACACTAGAAGGCGAGTAAATGTAGCCGACGAGTCACAAATAGAACGAAATAACCCGCGTCGCGGATTCCATTGCCAGCTACATTCCGTCTACTCCACGATTATTGGTTAGAACATTTTCTGTATCCAACTATAAGTAACATTTCAATGGTAATCGACTGCATAGTAAGGAGATTAGTGTTTAGAAATTAAGCTCACTTCTTCGCCGATACTAGTTGAATCTATGGTATCACCATCTTGATCCTTTAAAGCATCTTGTCGCCAATGTTTTTTGTTCCATTCCAACGATTCAATCCATTGTTCCAATTGAAGATAAAATGATTCAGATAAATGAGTATTTTTAGGACAAGTAAAGTGGATATTAGCTCTTAATAACCAAAAGAGAGCCTGTTTAATCATAAAAAAAAGAAATGTAAAGAAATATACACATTACTTTGATTATTATTTATGCTACTCATTACTATAGAAATCTTTTAATATAAAACAACTTAGACCTTGAAGAATAAGACAGCTATTTCGCCCTAGTATAGGACTTTTAAGCGGTACATGTCAACGACCCCATCACAAGAGATGAAACTCAAGAACTTTGATATTGCGCACGAAAGGTTAAAACCATAAGACCACTGAACCGGAATCCAATGGTTTACATATCTAGTATTAATCACTCCGCAATATTGCGCAACCCTTATCCATTGCCCGAGGTGGATAACTGTCTCACATCCGGCACAGATTGAACTCCACTGGTCACAGTTTCCTCTTAGAACTACTACAGGAATCGTATCCTGAAGTTAGTCAGCAATGATCACATTGACATCATCGGATGCCGACTCAATGGTCTAGAGGTTAAGCGTTTGTGCCCAAGACCGAAGTTCCCGAGTTTGATTCCTGGATTCGGAGTCGTGAGAGCGTACCGTTGAGCAGTCCCATACTAGGACGAATCAGAAGTCCAGTGCCTTCATGTTTTTAATTGTGGTCTGACTAAAATCAGTCCGTAATTTAACCAGAAAACTCTACGATCTACCCAAATTTCCTATACTAGGAACAACTCAATCTAATGAACAATGCAATACATACTTTGTATATTTACCGGTTCAGTCAAACTGACTCGAGTGCGCAAACACATTTTAATTATAAAAGTAGGTCTGTATCAATGATGCGAATTCGGTCGGCTGAGTTCGATAAACTAACAATAAAATGAGTAGATTAAATGACTTGAAAAGACACTAACGATGCATACAACTAGGTGATTTTTCTAATGTTTAAACAGTAGTGTAGTTAAGGTAATTGGCTGTTATAAACTCCACAAAATGTCTTGATACTGAAAATAGAAGAGTAAAAAAAGACAGGAACACGCTGCAGCAACGCGGAACTATAAGTTCCACCATGAAGTTACGACCGAGCTTGCTTAGTGTGATATAATAGAACCATATTATCTAGTGAAGAGTCGGTAAGACCGAAGCCAACGAATCCAAACTTCAAGAGAGAAACTGTGCTGTCAACTGTACCTTGTTGTGATCGCAGTAAAATGTTTTCTCAACGATAACCAACATTCCCAGTGATGGTGCTTTCCTACAAAAGGGAGGGAATTAGAGAAGGTTGACCCTAAAAATATGCTTTACATTGCCTTAGATCTTAAGCAGTAAGGCCTGAAAAGTACGGAGCTAATGAATTGAAAATCATTCGTGAAAAAGCTGTATGAAGTGGCCTTAAGAAACTGACCGTTGAACTCGGAGTTAAGGCTCCTATGCAGCATTTTTTTAAGTTCATAAAGAAAACAAATCGTTTTGTAGTGTGGACAGCAGCAAATTGTCAGTACCCTACACGTTTCTTACAGTACTCCAGTTAATATTATCCAGTACAAAATCTATTTATTGCTTTGTAACATTTCTTCTATCCTTACTACCAATGCCCCAACTCTGATCCCATCTTTCCGGTCATGCAATTAATACTAATGATTCAATTATACGAAATTCTATCGATGGTCTCCTGAAACTACGTTTAAAATCACAACTCCGGATATTTTCACCTTCATGTGCTCTTATAGTGCCAGTTATTTGGACAGCACAAACGACCGCCGACTGAAACGTCATCCAGAAGACCTCGTCAAGCTTACAAATGTATCGCTATATTTACACCTACAAGGGCATAGGAAGTTACTAATAGGTCTTGGAAAAATAAAGAATAAACTATGCTAGTTCGCTCACTCGCACAATGAAACTTCATATCAAGGAATGTGATACTTTTTCTGCAACTATATATAATGCTAACATTTAGTTCTCAATAGTCCTACTATACTTGACCAATGCTTCGTAGGTGCACAAGACTGAACACTTACCTTTAAGGTATGAATTTACATATTAAAAGTACATGACAACAACAAGTCGCACACAATTATACTTCTCGCATAAGCATTTTACATGTATTATTAATAGTACGGAATAGCTTACAGAGTCAACGTTATTTGGACCAAGATTTTATCAGCAACCAACCTTTAGGGGCAATGGGAGAAAATACACTGGCTCATTTTAATCCTTGCATTCTAACTAAGCGAAGTGCAAATTGATCCTATAGCTTTAGTTTTTAGCAATCCAGAAAGAAAAATCAGTCTGGAAATCTTTGGGTAGTTAGACAAGGTGAGAACAAACCTTTTCTTCTAAAAAAGATTTGTTGCATTGTAAGTGGATTACAGGACTGTCGAGTGAGAGCTTTGATTATTACGTCAAGCTATTTTAGCAAGTTTGAACTTTGTTTCACGGAAAATATTATTGTAGTTTGATCACAAAAATCAGAACTTACTTGACCTTCTGGAAATGATCTTTTAACAAAACGACCAGAAGGATGAATGACTAGTCCAGGGCACAATGCAAACTTTGGATTCCTTGAAGGATTGTAAAACGAAGACGTATTTAAATCCCCAGGCCACGATAACACTAACTGTTCACGAATTGTAATTTCATCCACTACATAATTAGCGACAAATCCTTTGTCATGCCTTTCTTTGCATAGCTTATCAAAACTAGAAAGCAGAATATCTACAGTTGTTTTAATATACTGAGCGTAGACTTACAGTTATTCGCGAAAACATTACAAGTTATAGCATGATAAACTAAGATAATCCTGATAAGTGCTACATTCTTCATGGACGTTGCAGCATTAAAAACGAATCAGTACCCAATTACCAATAAAACCGCTGTTTTTAAAAAAATAAACAAAAAAATTATCTGAAATAATTATCGAGAAAGAGAAAAACATAATTACAAATAAATAAGTAGATCCAGAAAAAAACAAGTTGGTTGCAACTACTAATACTAAAAAAACGTGAATTAACTAGGCTGAAATGACAGACAACAGTCCAGGGTGCTATATATCTTCATTTACCAATTCCGGTTCGTGTTTATACAACTGTAAGAAATTGAAATTGTATTTAAGAGAAAATAATTTTCACACACAGCATTGTTTAAAATGATCTGAGAGCTGAAAATAAAATGCTTTATCTACTTGGTAAGGCAGGTCCTAGGTCATTCAATGGTGATAAACGTGCTTCCATGAGAAATGACGAGCAAAAGTATAGACATAATAAATGACCCGAAATAGTTCCGTCATTTGATAACTTTTATTTCATTACCATGATATATCTGCTAGCCTGATGTGCTCCAGTTCTCCTAATTTGATGACCCGATCAGGGTATACTGGATGGAACAAGTCGTGCAAGGTAGGTTAACTGAAAAATAAAGACAACAAGCAGCAAATACAAATTTCAAGAGTGAGATCGCACTGTAAACTGTACTGAGGGAGAAAGTAGTGAAGTGTCCGCCAAGACTAACAAGCATCTCTCGTGATGCTGTCTATTTCATGAACATTACCCATTCCATTTGCTCTTCTACCATTATGGGGTGCGCACCTCTAATTTATTTCTATTCCCATTTATAACGATCTTCATTTACTTGATTGTCAAATAACATCAAAGTCTATTACTTTGTGGTTATGACCATGACCTTTAGTCACCCATAAATAAAATCTAGTCACCCCGATTTCTCATCTGAAAGTTAGTAGTTTGCTTTACCAATTACAAAATGTACTACGTGAAATTCGCTAATCAAGAGCATACATACTAGAATACACACCTTGTCCTTCACATATATTATCTTACATAGGTACGACAGTACAGCTTTATGAAAATAAAACAATCAAAGAAAAGACTTTTTTGAAAGTTTATTTTGTGTGCAAAATGTTAGACAGGATAACCATTGAACGCTTAGAAAGACCTTGGGGAGAACTAGCTCACATAAACCAGATTTCAGATCAGGTTTTTGCTATTCGTTAGATTTGAAAACACAGACAAACATATTAGCGCCAAAGTGCAATCATATTCTCGAGTTGAAAAAAGTATAACAGAGGTTTTGTAGCAGCCTTTGTCACTGCAATGCAGACCAGAGAAATACTTAGATATTCTTCAGCTTTTTAACCCAGGCACTGATCGCCAAACCAGCATTTATGGAGAACTATCATCGGTGAGACTATAACTTATGAACGACCTTTGAACGATGCTAGAGTGATCTCAAGAGTTACCACCTAATAACTAGGACTGAATGAGGGTTATAAACCAGCGCGAGGATTTAGAACCGTGATTTACAGTCGATGGTTAAAGTTAGAAAATAGATTCCGGGTTTTCATCACGAACTGACATCAGCTATAATGCAAAAACTCTATTTAGCCAAATGGATGAGTGAATTTCACGCCAGAATCCAAGACCTGTCAACTTATATCTGATTGGTTTGTCCATAAATTATACTCTTGCCGTCTAGAGTACGTAGATAATATACTTTTGATTGATGAAGACGCTGACAGACTCCGGTTTTATAAACGCCTCCATAAACAAAGAATATTTTTTAAATGCGATTCGCTCCTTATAAAAACCAAATTCTGTATAAGGGCTTACTTCTGTCAGGGCCTGAAATTATTACAGGAAGTAAATTATTAAGGCACGCTGGAAATCTACAACTTATCTCAGAATTTTAATCAGTCTACATGGAATGGTGACAAACAAAATATCGTTTAAAACTCGGGACGTTTGCTCAAGATTAATCAAAATATTCATGAATGTACCTCAATGACTTTTTTTGTAGTTTGCACCTGGTAAAACACATATCAGTAGAACTTATATAAATCACTCATTAAAATATCAAAAGGCCATGATCGAATCCAGAACGTAACTTACCGCGACCTTGTCTGTTAGATGGAGCGCCCTGTCCGATTTCTAATCCAGTTTCTATTCGATGCGGCAAAGTAAAATAATTAATTTTTGTTCATTGCTCCGTCTTAATGTTGGTTCACGACTCCAGGTTTTGGGTGGTGTCCATTAACAATAACACTACCACTATCCTAACTTTATAACCTACTTTTGTTCCCGTTATATTCATATCTTTTCTAGAGAAGATAGAGTGCAAACGAATGGTGGATTACAATGTGTGATGAAAAGTATCATTAGTAATTTGGAGTTCGAGATGTCTCTCTATCTTTAAAGAAAGTGTTTCATATTGTAGGATTTGGTTGAATCTCCCAGATACTTGCAGCGTGTCCAGGCTTTATGTCCAAAAAAACATTGATCAAGCTTCAACGAGTTACTAGAAGGGCGGCGAAAATGGTGAGATTCAACAATCAGCCTGTCATCTAGAGTCCGAAAGCGAATCATCCGGGAACTTTGGAGGCTGAGTGCCAAATCTTTGATCTATGTTCGCTCTTCTAACTAAACTACCTTTCAGTGGATCTCCTGTGAATCTTCATCAATATTGATGGCCCTCTACAGCTCTACGTTGTTTGCCTAGATCGAGGACAATAAGCTGTAAATTTGTGAATGCACGCTGATTAAACTGAGGGAGATTGGAGAAGTTTGGTCATCTATTCGTTCACTTGTATTGACACTACGTTGGTAGCAGTGGTCGTATTATTTTCGATCTACTGTAACAATCCCACGGCTTGTGCCTCATGAACGAGATATCAACTTGATGTGGTTTGCGTTTCTCAAACTTTTATCGTGCTCTTACGCAATAAGGTTATCATTTTTTATCAAAATCATCTATCCTAGACTCAATGTTCAGTAGATTATCTTTCTTTCGAGTTTCATTCAAATTATTAGTTAAATGTGACTTTGGCTCAACTTGATATTCGGTTTTTCAAGGTAATGAACTAGATGAACATAAATTTAAGCGTTTGTATCAACTGTATCAGCATTGGTTCTAGCCACATGGTCCTTGAAGCTAAACATGAGTTAACTGAGAAAATTCGGCATTTAACACGTAGAGATCAACAATGGCGATCACGGTAACAATCAATGGGTACGGCATGGACCGGAGTACAACAGCATCATTTCCTTATCTAGCTTTTGTTGCCCAGTTTGTGTCCAATGGTTTTCGATGATTTCAAGTACTGCCAATTTGTATCTCCTCATTTTCATTGCTATTTGGCTGGTCTTCCCGGCCTCCCACATTGCCCGGATGTTCCATGTACCTATAAAAATTGTTGCTCTGGTTGTTAGAAAGAGCAACGGCCACGTGATTTCCGAAAAATCTCGGCGTTCATCATGAGGCGTCATAATTCTTCCTGCAACTCCCAGGGCATAGTTTAGATGGTTTGATTTTTTTTCTGGTTAGTGTTTTTTTGGCGAGTTAGTTTTTCGACGGAATGGCGTCGCAAGCTCCATGCCTAACACTCCCTCCTCCTTCGTGTGAGCTTGATGAGCTACAGACCGAGTTTCATCGGTGCTGATGAAGCCAAATTAAGCGATGGATTCCTTTGTATAAAGCAAGTGCTTTCTTATATCCTTATGTCTCATGGTTAAGACTCAGATATGGTAAATTATCATGATAGTGATTCTAGTTGTGACACAATGGCAGATGCAGTAAAAATTCGTACTTTGGATAAGAATCAAAAATTTGAGGTATCAGGACAGAATGTAATGCCCATAGTGCCTGTTTTAGGTCTAGAATTGCCGAAAGTTGAAATGGGCTATTTTTATAGACAACCAAAAGAGTACTGGAAGTTGGTAAGACAGTTTGAGATATATGGCTTATCAAGAGTCAGTGATTATAGTCAACGCTTGCTCTACTTGATACATTACTGTAAGGGCAAGGCAAAAGCAGCCATTGAAGGTTGTGTCGTGATGGAAGCTTCTACTGGTTGGATAGCCCCGGAAACTTTGGAAGACTTAGTCAATACTGTAACTTTTGATTGTAATAACGCGAAACAGGTATGGAAGCTATAAGAATGCGAATATGTACTATGGTTTTGGAACAGATGAATTATACTGTAGATTTAAATTCTCTGGTCCCCTAAGAGAGATTAGTGAGGTTTTTGCCTCAACCCATGCACGTGCAATGGTAGACAGGTCGACTAAAGATGATAAAGAACCTGTAGTGACCGGCCAGTCTCGATAAGAACACGATTGGAACAACGGAAACTATTATTATTATTGTAACCAATTGTACCAGAGATTGTTTTGCTGTATTTGTTTAACAGTATCAGTTTCACTTCTGCTTTCGCTCTCCGCCTTGTTTGGTTCGAACTTGCTCACGCACTGCCTGTTCGCCTGTACTCTTTGGCACGTCTCGGTATTATTTCGATACCACGAGATCGCCAATAAATACGATTGATCTGGACTAATAAAGCCTTCTGATTTACGAGCTACCAAAGGAGCCAAGTCGTTTTTGGGCGCGTAAACGAATTGTAGTGGTGATCATAGTCCGTCTTCGACTCGACATCAAATACAAAACTACGTTTGTCGAGCCCACCAAATTTGTAGCAGATCATGCAAGAGTGGCTACTAGTAGTTTTGAACGATTGGCGGATCGTCCAAAAAGGAATATAACATGAAGACAAATTGTCACTCGCCATCGGGGTAGTGGAGTGTTTCTGCCGTAAAAACTAAATGCAGTTTATGTTCTAACGACCATGCTGTTTATAAATGCCCAAGGTTTTTAGCCCTTACAGTGGAAGATCGGTGGTCTCACGTGAGGGAAACGGTCATATGTGTCTTAGGCAAGGACATAAGCTAATCATTGTAGATTGATGGAGCGCTGTACAATTGACAGGTGAACGAAAAACCATCGCTCACGGTTGCACAATCGTGTGGATCTTACAATAA